TTTCGTGAAGAAGGAGAACATGAAATTTCTAGTGATGGAAATCCATTCAATAGTGAAGCATACATCGTCCCTCGAGGTGGTAACAATTTAATAAATAGGTTTTGCCATCGTTTCTCTGGATATGTTAATAATTGACAAGTATGAAAGTCCATGTTATCTTATTTTATACATAAATTATATTTGTGTTTGCATATATCATAGTAACACTAATACCTCGACTTCTATATGAAATATACATAAGTTCATGTTAGTAACACTAATACCTCGACATCTATATGAATTATTTTGTGTTGTCTTTTGTAACGTTAATATGTCCAAATCAATGAAGATTTAAATTATTCTACTATAATAGTTTCAAATTGAAAAGAAAATATTAGCACTACCAATTTAAGGTGTTATGTCCCAATAGGTTGCTATGTTTCTGTTACTTACCATTGAAATTTTTTGAGTCTTTTTTTCAAAAAAAACTTTTTGAGTCTTAATCCATCATGCCATCATTTTAGGGATGTTCATTCGTGTTGTCCACCAATTTTGGGATGTTCCTACCGATATCTTCTGAATCATATTAGAAGTGTCACATAACAAATCGATGTGACAATATCCATCTCCTTTGCATTCGAGAATTCATCTTGTTAAAAAACTGTAAACATAAAACAAATCGATTAAACATATGCATTTGTTTAAATGCTTGAAACTTTGATATAATTAACTCACTTGGCAAAAAAGAAAACCGTTGACTGTCACTGCATTTTTCACGCTGGTGGCATGTTCTGGATTTTCATGTTCGAGGCACAGTATGCTTACATCTCGAAATCTGTTTACTAGGAATACAATCACTTGATAGATGGCTGTAAAGATTTATAATTCAACTTTTTATTAGTATCCGGTTAGTTGAAATAGTGAGAGAATTTTATTATCTTTTTTTTACTTGAATCAATAAGTTTCTCCACATGAATTTGGTCATATTATGTGCATAAAGATGTCATCAAAGCAAATTGATAAGTCTCTGCCTACAAAACCAAATGTCGAATAAACACACTTTGATAAGTAAAAGCTTCAAACACATACGTTTTGCTAAAACGTGGTCTCTTCATAAGGTGATGATTGGGCGGTTCAGTAGTCAATTCCAGTGCTCTAAATATTCCAAAATTAAATGACAAATGCATGAGAATGAAACAAGTAGACGATTTAATTAGAACTAGATTTTTGTCCTACGTCAAACGCGAAATTAGAATATTCGAAAAAAAAAATTCATGATTTTTTATAATACATGAGAGAAATTACATATAACAAATATCAAATGGTATATCTCCCATACAGATAAATATATTTTATCTTATAAAATTTAATTTGTTTGACATTTAGATTATATGTAAGCGTTTTTTAAGCATTTTAAAGCATTTTTGAAACTTTTTTATGTAAATCGAATACGTTTGAGATTATCATTTTTTCAAACTTATTTGAGTTTACCAAAACCAAACAAATATCGCGTT